AGACCCTGAGACTCACTGCGGCGAAGTGACCGGCCAGGGGCCCTACAGTCGGCAGGTGGACAGTCGAGGCTCCCCGACCTTCAGCACAGGGTGCCCCTTGCTCCCCGTCACTGCACACACTCAGCGGGTGACCTCCCTGTTGAGTGTGAGTCAGAACCCAGCCCGTGCCTGTCTCCCAGCCTCCGAGCAGACCGTCAGCCAGGGCCCTGGGGTGCAGGAGCCCGGGCTGCATTCCTGAGCCACTCACATGCCACGCAGATGGAGGTGTTATCCTGGGCAGCTCACCCGCGGGAATAAACCCGAGCCCGAGTCCCGTCTCCAGCCCAGAGGGGAGAGAGAGAATCCTGGCCTTTAGTCACTGACCTGGGCTTGTTGACAGAATCCCAGAGTGGGTGGCCAAGCCATTTATAGGACAGCCTAGCCACATGGTGCTGGGAATCCCAAATGTAAACTGGCCGCCCGGGGCGTTCGTGCTGTGGGTGGTAGGCTTTCTTGGGAGGCCGTCTGGGGGAGAAGGTGGGAAGCTGCTCGGGGAGTCAGGGAATCTGGGACTCAGAGGCAGCTTTTCCAGGAGGGGACTCTTCTCCCTGTGCCTCTGCGAAAAGGGGACCCCACCTCCTGCGAGGCTGTGCCCAGGAGTCCTTAGGAGCAGGGGTGCAGATCCCAAGCCCCCTGCCACGGGGGTGACTCACCTCTTTGCATCTTCATGTCCTGAGGTGTAAAACGAGGACAGTGAGAATGGCTGCCTTACTGGGGCTGCTGGGAAGAGTGAGGGGGACTGGGGGCCAGGCCCCGGGGAGCGATGGAAGGTAGCGGTGAGTAGCAAGACAGCACAGCAGTCAGCACACCCGGGTGTGAGGAGCGCGGCCTCCCCCCTTACTCTCACCTGCTGAAACGCTCTGTGTTTGGAGCGGGCTTCAGAATCCTGCAGCATCCACTTACTGACTGGTTGGGGGCTGGAGGCAAGTCTGTTCCATTTTAAACATTCTGAAGCCTCTGTTCTCCCACCTGGAAGCTGGGGAGCTAGTGACACTAGCTCAGGAGGTTGTGTGGTGCCCGGAGCCGGCACGAGGACAGCCTCAGGAAGGGCCTGTGTGTGTAAGGGGGTGTCCACGGCCACGAACCTGCACGAACGGGCTTCCCCGTCTCTTCCAGCTCAGACCTGGGGACACCTGGGAGAGTGGGTGGGCGAGCTCCACCGTGTCTTCCCAGCTATAGGCCCCCATCAGAGAGGATGCTGTGAGGAGAGGAGGCCCCAGGCAGGCTCTGAGCGGGCAGCTCACAGAGAGGCCAGAGGAGGGGAGGAGGAGGGGCAAGATGCCCCGCACGTCCCCGGCACCCGGCCTCCCCACTCCTCACGGGAAGCCTCGTCTCACGGATGGGGAGATGAAGCCCGCAGGTGCCAAGGACAGTGGGAGCGCTCACCTGAACCCAGGCCTCCCGCCGCCCAGACCCCGGACGAGGGCTGGTAGTGGCAGCTGCGTTTACAAGCATGTGGGGGAGACAGGGAGGTCCCGCTCTTCCCCTGAGACCATACCTTCCACTTGGTTGTGTTCTGGTTGGAGTTCCCGCCCTGAGGTTCCAAACGCATTTCCTTCAGGAAGTGCTGAGACTGCCTGGGCCGACCCAGGGAGGAAGGACAATGGTCACAGCATGCCCGCAGAGCCAGAGCGGCCGGACTGGCCTGAGCAGCTCGCTGGGGGTCGGGCTCTGCCAGCTGAGAATCTGGGAGAAGCTAACGGAACTGGGGACGCCAGAAAGAGGAACACGCAGGACAGGGTTTGTGGAGAAAGTCTCCATCTCTCCGTCTCCTCTGCCCAGGGCACTGCCTTCTGCCTTTCTCAGACTGAAAAGGGTTTTCAGATGGATAGGGAGGTAGAGCTCATTAAAATCAACTCTTAATGTCCAGACAGGAAGACTGAAGCCCAGAGAAGGGAAGTAACTTGCACAAAGTCACACAGTGAATGCGCACACCAGCTGAGGCTCCCTGACTTGTATTCTGCCTGCGTGTTTGTGCCTTTGTCCCTCCGTTCATGCATCTGCCACGTGGTTCAGTTCGGCGGAGGGCAGAGGGTGGGAGGAAGTATAGCTCAGTGGTAGAGCACGTGCCTAGCGTTCACGAGGTCCTGGGTTCAATTAACCAAAAAAACAAAAACAGAAAGACTCAGTTCAACAACAGACATGGCCCCTGCTCAGACCATGCTTGAGTTGGCCTACAAGTGCAGAATTGAGTCCATACGAGAATGGTGTAAAAACAGAATGACGGGCTGTGGGATGAGCACTACCTTTGGTCGGACTAACGAGGGAGGAGGAGGGGTGTCTGAGATAAGACCTGACGAATGAAGAGGAGCTGGCCAGGGAGGAGCAGGACGGGGGAGGAGCGTGAACGGCTGAGACTGAAAAGCAGGGAACACTTGGAGTATTTAGGAACCGGTAAATAAACGAGCCCAGACACTGAGAGAAAAGGGAACCAGGTGAGGTCTGAGAAGCGTGTAGAGACCGTGCAAGGCCTTGAACTCTAGCTAAGGACTTTGTGCCCTCTTCTGAGAGAATCTGTCGCCTTTTTGCTTGTATGCAGCGCCGCAGGAATGCATGAGAGAGGAGAGGCCAGATGTGACGCTGAGCCCAACGGGAGTGGGCACAGAGAGCCGTGTGCAGACATGCGCAGTGACTGGTCACCCTCAGAGCGTGGGCAAGGGCAGCAGACAGGCAGACACCGGGGTGGGGGAGTTGAGGAAGAAGAGGCTGCCCACGTCGGGGAGGTGGGAGAGGGGACAACAGGCAGGACCGGCGTCACTGATGGGGAAATGCGAGCGGGCGGGAAGCCGGATTCAGCACCAGGGACTCGGCATTGAGTATCTCCTAAGTGTTAGGCCACGTGCTGGGGTTTCTGCATCCTCTGGCTGGCTCCTCACAACCATATGAAATGTACTATTTTTTAATCACCCTTTTGTTATACGCAGAAACTCAGGGTGATGGCAGCGCCAAGGGATTTTTCCCGCAGTTGTTCAGCGACTGTGAGGCAGGGGAGGACGCCAGCCCAGGCCTCCTGACTCCCATGGTGGTGGTCTTCCCACTCGGCCTCAGCGGCTAGATTTGGACATGGCTCTGCCCTCCCCTCCGTTTCCCCACTTGGACTGGAGGGTTTTCTCTATGTCTCTTCCAATTCTGACAGTCTCTGCTTCTCTTAGAAGTGAAGAGACTGCAGAAGACTATTCTAGATTGGAAGGCACTGCCTCTGCGTAGGCATGGCGGCTGGGAAGTCAGTGTCCTGCACCAGTTGCTCACCGTGGCATCACACACCCGTAAGCTTAAGTTGACAAGAGAAGCAAAGAGGCACACTAGCCTGAGCGCGATGAGAGACTCAGAGAAAGCTGGAGGAACAGACAGACACGTCTTCCTATTCTGTGGCCCAGGCCCCGGGAAGACGAGAACGAGCAAGACAAGCAGTCCCTGCCTCACTGCCTGAGGCAGAGAAGCCCCAGGCCTGTGTCACCATCAGTTCATTATCCCTCATCACAGCTCGTGAGGTGTGCGCTTTCATCGCTCCCACCTAATGAAGGAGTTCACGGAGGCTCAGAGAGATTGTCACATGCTCCAGGTCACACTTCAATTAGGTGGGAGAGCTGGGGCCTCCACTTCAACCTTCGTATTCATTCCTACGCTTTAAATTATTGAAAGTTGCAGGATGGAGAGAGGTTGGGAGGGAAACAGAGGAAGGAACGATGGAGGGAGGGAAAGAGGGCTAAGAGGCAGAAAGAAAGAGTCAGACTTAGAACATGAGCCCACAACCTGGAGAGACGAAGATGCTCCCTGAGCCTGTGAGCACTCAGAGACCCGGCCCAGGCAGGAGGCGAGTGAGGTCATTAAACCTGTCTGCGCAGATGGGGGACCCTCTGGGGAAAGTTATATGCAAATGTCATGATGCAATGAGGCGCAATCCGCTTGCGGTAGCCTGGGCTGGGGCTCAAGCAGGGACCACGCTGTGCTCTTTGGAAGGACAGACCATCTCTGCACGGGGAGGGCGACATTCACTCTGCTGGGCTCTTTCTCTCAGTTTCTAGAAAGGAAAGCCAGCCCAAGGTCACAAAACGTGTGAAGGGAGGACTGAGAACTGAAACTCGGGCCTCTCACTTTTCCTTTTTTTAAGTTTCTTTCCATTTTCCCCAGCTTTCGTGATATATACATGTATCAGATTGTCAGGCTGTACGCCTCTCACTTCTTCTTATGCTAAAATCTGCTCCCGAGATCCTTCAACTATGTTTTCTGCAAAATCGTCCCCACCAGGATTTCAGGCCCTCAGAAGGTGGTCTGAGCTTGCTGAGAAATGCTTCTGCTGTTTTCATCATCACCTCCAAAAAATTACCGATAAGTGCAGAGAGTTCAACGTTTTCTTAAAAGACACCGTCACATCCTGCATTTCACTTGATCACCACAACGGTGCTAGAAGTGAGATACTCCACCGTGCAAGTCTACTAACCAGCTCTGTGTAGGACGCTGCAGTTTTTCACCCATGCTTCTTCCAGCCCTTAGAGTTCGCAGTGCAAGGTGGATCTTACACCAATTCTGCGTGCTGTCATAGGAGTGTGAGGCTCGGGGGAGCTCGCTGTCTTACCTTAAATACTAGATTTGTCACTTACTGCTTTGGGCAAAGTCTTGCCCCCTTTCTGAGCCTCTGTTTCTCCATCTGTAAGAAGGTGATTGTTTTAGTGCCTGTGTTACAGGGCTGTCAAAGGATTCAGTGTTTTCCTGTTTGGAAAGTGTTTAGCACATTGCCTGACCCTTAACAAACGCCCCTCAGAATGAAAACTGCTATGCTGATGACCATGGTGATCATGATAAAAGCTATCACAGGGTTAGCAAGAAGCAGCGCCATGACTTGAACTCGAATCCGCTGCCCCGCAAATCCAGTGACTGTCCCTCTGCCCTGCACTGCTCTCTGGAAGTTACTGCTCTGCTCCCAACCATCGGGCTCACATCTTCTGCCTTTCTCTTTGCAGGTCACCCCCTTCCCTATGTCTTGTGACATACAAGGTGACTGTGCTTGTCGGGACCCGCAGGCCCAAGAACACAGCCGGAAAGACCTCCGGGGATACAGCCATGGCTAAGGAAGGACAAGGAGTTGTCAAAGAATTCCCAGCGCCAGGACCCGCATCCCTTTGGTATTGATTTCACAGTCAGCTGCTCAACGGAATGGCCTCTCCACACCAGGGACCCTTAGCACCCGACCGGTCTGCCTTTAATTTCACCCAGGAAGGACTTGCAGTGGGCGGGGGGGGGGGCGTGAACCACGTCTCGTCATGTTGAATGTTGCAATGGAATCCCATCCCAAAGTCTTAGATGGACTGCATATACAGTGTGCAGTCCCTGAGCCTCCTAAAAATTCTAACCATTTGTCGTATGACCATGGCAAGAAACATGTTCTGTATCTAGGAGTGGGAGTGTGCCCACCCGTGGTTGGTCCACATGCATGCGTATGCACCCATGCAAACATCCGTGTGAGGGCGATTTTGGAGACTGAGTAGAGAGAGACTGGGACAGACTCAGCCTTTCCTTTCCCAAGCTCACAGCCAACACTGTCCCTGGGAGAAAGAGAGTTGTAGGAGCTGCTAAGACCAAGTGTTGAAATGCCAAGAAAGCTCACACCCTGAGGCCTGGAATATGTAAGACACGCACAAGTGTGTAGTCCTTTGGGATAGGAAGTAAAAGGGCCTTGATCACCTACCTTCTAGGGAAGCAGGACCAGGAAGAGGTAAAGGATGCAAGGTGTGCAGAGCCCCCAAGTTCCTCCGCTGCCATGGGGGACTCTACCCCAGCTCCAGGGTGAGAGGCCAAGCTGGAAATGGCTTAGGGTTACAGTGTCAAGGTATTATAACAGCCCCCTGCTTGAGGCCTGAGGCCGTACTATCCCTCCCACTCCCCAAATCTTGCCTTGGGACCACATTTGCTGCTGCTCTTCTGGCTGCTCTCTCCTCCACTGTAAGTACCCCGAGACGGTAGGACTCCGTTAGGGAAAACCCCACACAACCAAACAGTCTGCCTTAACAGTGACCCACACTCTTCCACAGCCCCCTACTCCTTGGCCCTTCTGCAAGAGAATACCCCTCCTTGGCCCACACGGTGAGAAGTGAAGTGCCCTGTGGCTGGGCTACTCATCCTGGAAGGGAACTGAGGGACTTAAGATGCTGGAATCCTCACTGAGAGTCCGGAATGTCCAAGCCAGTGTTAGATTTTATAACCACATGGAACAGTGTTAAGTTTCTATGATGTTGGAGCCATCTAGAGACTGCTGGAATTGTCGGAACTTTGAGTTACCATCCTTTTCTGAGCCTTCCTGCCCCTCCAGGCTAGAGCACACTTTGGTTCTGAGCACCTCTCTGTTGCCCTGATTAGCTATGATTTGAAACAGAGAATCAGTCGTCTTGGATGTGATCTATCTGGACTGTGTCCTAGAGGGCCATCGGGGGAAGCTGAAGAGTTCACAGCCTTGCTCCCCAACAACCCAGTATGTTTTGCACTTAGCCTTCCATCTACCAGTCCTCCCACCCACACCTGTGGAAGGGTGACCCCTCCCTTCCTCCCATGTTCAGCCTCCAAAAGTTAAGAGGAAATTAGTCAAACGCATGTAGAAGCCCCCACCTCTTTGGGGTCGTCTTTGCCTCTTTTCAGCCAGTTACCTGTCCACTCCTTTTGAATTTCACATGGGAAGAGATTAATTAATACAGAATGAGGTAGAGAGAATGACAGGATTTCTGAGACCTGAAACGGAGGAAGTGAGGTGATGGGAGGGTCTAAACTAGATGTGTCACACAAAGAGTGCTACAAATCGAGTCATCTCTAGTCCGGTGAAGACAACCCACAAAAACAAAGCTTAGCATAGAAATGGGAAGTACCAGGTACGTGTGCTGACGCTCCTTACCCCTGCATCCCCCAGCCTTTTTCCTCTGGGGACCAAAAATAACTCCAGAAACCTTCTTTCTGTATCAGTCCCAACAGCAACTACCTGCTGATCAGGAACGTTTGAGGAGACATCTTGTTGGCCATCTGTGGTCTGTTATCTTAAGAAACAGATCAAGGTGCTTCTCACACAGGTGCCCACAAATAAGGATGCCATGGCCTGGACCACAGTGCAGACTCTGCGCCTGGGTTCCGGAATGGAGAGACTACCAGGCTCCCCGCTCTTAAGGCCTGGCTCAAATCCTTTAGGGTTCCTTCTTACAAACTCATATCTCATTTATATTCAAGGCCTGTTTTCCCCCCCGCTATAATTACCAAAGCCAATCCTTGGCAAAATAATAACAACAATGTAAGAACTGATCCCATTTTTCACCCCCCCTCCAGCATCTTAGAACCCTTGCCAACTCGGAAAGTCCCTCTCTTGCACTAGCTGAGTTACCAACCTGTGTGGTGTTAGCCAGGAAGGAACAAACCAAGAAAGGTACAGGAGTCAGCCTCCCAGGCGCTTCCTGACGCCAGGAAGCAGCACAAAAAGCCTTGGAGACCCGAGGACAACAGCACCAGTGATGGGGTTGCAGAAGCCATGGGAGAGCCTCTCCAGCTTCCCCTAGATCAGCTCCCACCCTCTTTCCCTCTTTACTGGCACCCTTGTCTGTCCCCACACACTCATCAGCTGAGCAAAGCTTCCTGGAGGCTGACTTCTACCTTCAGACGCTCAGACTGAGTTGAGCCCTTCCGAGCAAAGATCCCCCCAGTCGCCTTCTTACCAGCATTCAAACCTGTTACTCACAAATTCATACTTGCCGAGGCTGTGAGGCACGGCAGGCTACCTGGCTGATGGCCAACCTCGCGCCTCCCCGGAAGGTGTCCGTGACAGGCCCCTCTCAAACCTCAGTGGAGGACAGTCAGCTCGAGCCGTGCCACACCCTGAGTCTCGGTTTCATGTCTTCCTGGGGATGAACTCATTGCCTCATCCCTTCGGTCACCTCCCGTCCGGGACAGTGGCGTGCTCACAGGGAGGCAGCTCTGAAGCGCTGTTGTCTGCCAGCAGCTCAGGGGCCCTAAAGCACTTGGAGGTTCTGAAGACGTATTAGCTTCTTCAGAACTTTCTTCAGAACTTGGAGGTTCTGAAGAAGGATTAGCCTGTAAGCAGCAAGAAAGAAAAGATGAGGTGGACAGTTCTCCAAGCCTTCTCTTAGGAAGACTTTCCAAATCACAGCCCTCCTGGCTGCCAGAGGACTTGCGTTACCCCCAGGTTCCATGCCAACCACCCTTAAGGGACGACAGTCCTTGGGAAGTCCACTCTGGTGGCTGAATGGGGGTGTGTCGACAGGGAGAAAACAGCGGTTGTAAATTGTAGGGCTCTGAAGATGGAGAGGATCAGCTGCTCCTCTGGGCTTCGGCATGAGGAGTCACTGCCTAGACAGCGCTCCTGGTCCTTCCCACCTTGGCCAATGCTTATGTGCTATTTGTTGAAAATAATCCTTTGAGACAGATTTCAGCTACCTCCCTTCCAGGTTTGATTTAACTTGGTTGTAACTGTCAGTTTGTTATAGGTCTTACCTGTGTTTAAAAAAGAATGGAAGGAAGGAGAGCAGGAAGGAAAGGAGGGAGGGAAGAGAGAAAGGAAACCACAAATGAACAGTTTAGAGGTTTTGTGTTTTTTTCTGGAACTACTTCGAGTAGGAAAATAAAAAGAATGAATTGATGGTGTCAAAACTGTACAGAGAGAGATTGATAGAAGACAAGGAGATTAAAAGTAAATAAAAATGCATGATTAAAAAATGAGAATTTTAAAACCCTATTTTTGTGCTTCCTAAAGGAAATGTTTATTCTGCAGACTGAGTATGTAGACATGAGCATAAAGGTTTTCTGGGCAGGAGACAGCGTGGGGTTTTATATCGCTGTCTCTTATTGTCCGTACATTGTGGCAGGTCCGGGCACTAAGGCATCTCCCCCATGAATATGCAGTTGTCGTTCGTGGGGGAGCATTGTGTCTGTTAGTTTGGTGGCAGTCGGTGATAGCAGGGCGTGGGGAGGGCTGGAAATTGGTCTTACCAAACATTAAGGGGACATACTGTGTCATGCGTTTCACATGATAAAATGTTTGTATTTACCAGTAGAGCACTGGGCTTTCTAAAGTCTGCACTTAGAATCACTGCACAGTCCACTTTCCTAAAAAGCTGCTACATGACCAGACAGGTACTTCCCATGGTTTTTTGAGAAACAAAACAAACCAAGAAAACAATAAACATAAAAACTAAATAGCAAAGAAATAAAAGCTTATTCTTGTAATTCGCTCGAGGTTTGCCAAATTCCTACCCACTGTTTGATCTTTAAAAAGAAACGTGTAACAGCCAAGAGAGGAATTCGGTCCCTAGAGTAAGAACATAGAATTCTTGACTCCAGGCAGCAGTTTGCTCAGTGATCTTGAACAAGTCACCATCTTGCCTCTCCATCTGCCTCAGTTTCTCCAGCTGCAAACTGGGGACACTACTACTTACCTACCTCACAGTGGGAGGGCAGGGGATTGTGAGGCCCTGAGGTTTTACAGGGGCTGTGGCCATCTGTGAGAGCCAAGGCTCGATGCAAAGTCCGCGGGCTATTTTGTAAGAATGCACAGGCCCACTGGCCATTTAGGAAACACAGGGAGCGCTCATTTGATAGTTTAAGGAATGAAGGTGGAGGTCCTAGATTAGAATTCGCCTTAAGAGAGAGGCTTGTCTTTGAGAATATTTCACTTGTAGGTAAATTGGATTTTCTCCCCCTTATTCTGGCCTTTACCAGTTCTACAGTTTGATTTTAAAAACCAATGACTTCCTACAATGTAAAAGTTCACTGTTTATTCAAGACTTCGGGCCATTTCCAACTTTATGGAGGAAGGGGGTCCCTAAGATCTCTTTTTCTTCTCAGACTTAAAATCCCACACCGAGTGTTCCATTAAAAGAAGATACGGCATTCTGAGTGCAAACTCGGGGCTTCTTAAACTCTACACCAGCAGTCAGTGAGGAGAATTTTGAACAATTATTGACTTGCTTTCTTGGGTCTCTATAATCAATAACCTGTCCGCAGATATCTATCTATATAAAGATATTATATATAAATTTACATATATATGCACATGTATATATAGTTGTACATATATGTGTGTATATATATACTTAAATGTAATATTTACAAAATAAAACTGTGATCTCGTCTAGAGAAAATGTATTCATATTACAAACTGCTCTTCCATATTTATGTTTCATATTATACCTTTTTATTATTGTTTATAATTATTATGGGTATTTCTAATTATTATGATGTTGAAATCTGTTTGGCATCTTCTGGAAACTACCAAAAAAAAATGACTCTCCATTGAAGTGCTTCAAATCTGTTCTCATGAGAATTCTACTGGCCTACTATTAAAAAAAAAAAAAAAAAAAGAAAGAAAAAAAAACTAAGCACCAAAACCAAAACACAATCCCAGCCCTTTTTCTGTACCTCACGCGCATAAATTTGCTGCTCCTTTTTTGGGTTTTATTTTTTCCTGTTTATGTGTTTTTATGGATCTAAGTTAAGTCTTTCAGCAATATATAAAAATGTAAATAGTAAACTTTATTTATTAAGAATGTCATCTTTTTTTAATTTATATTTACACAATTGTTCATCTAATTTATTTTTTCTATACAGTTTTAAATACTCAGACATATTTTGCTGTTCATGATATTTTTATCCTGTTCTCATGGATTTGTTTTTCCATACTGTTTTCTCTGGTCTCAATTACAGGTTGGATCTCACAAAAAAAATAATAATAATAATGTCAAAGAAATATTTTGCCACTGTTGATTACTATACCTTAAAGTTCTATATTATGAAAATATATAATAGCTTGTATGCTTCAATGTGGAGTGGCGTGGTTTTTCTCTGTTGCGGAAACCTGAAAGACTCTCACATAGACACACTGCTGTGGAAGAGAATTCCGAGGCTGAGAGTTAGAACAGCAATGGTAGCGTGCAGCTGAGTCTAATATCCACCCAGTCTTCTACACAAATAGTTCCCGAAAGCATCTACGTTTAACGTGTAAAAACTGCAGCCCATTCTTCCGTGTTATGAGGAAGTTCACTTTTCAGGGAGCTGCGACGAGCATCACCTCCAGTCATAGCTAGCCTTTCGGATGCTGTCTTCAACACTGTACTTCAGCAGAGTCATTATTTTCATCTTTCTTCTTCAGGGTTGAACACTCAGTCATCCAGTTCATCAAATGAACTGGCATCGGGGCCAAAAGCTTTGCTGGTTTTGGTCTGCCCACTGGGTCTCATTTTTCATCTCATCACTACTTAGTAGCTAGGGGATCTTTGGAAAGTTATTTAATTGCTTTAAGATTTAGTTTTCCCATCTGTAGAATGGAAATAATAAACCTACCCACACCTCATGAAGTTGTTGGTAGAAAGAGATAAATACGCAAAGGTTTTAGAGCTTTGCCGGGTAACAGACAAACTGAACTCTTGTCAGGGTTATGATGAGGTAGGGCTGCTTGGGACAGATGTTAATAATGCGCTCATTTTCCTAATACCTGTTCATTTTTTTTAAAGCATAAAAACAAGATTCACTAAAGCCTTCAAGTATTTGCACAGGCATCGCCATGGAGTAAAGTCATTGGCGCCGTGCACTGAGCCACGGGCTGGCAGCACCACCGTAAGACAGGTTTATCTGCTGAGACTTGAAATGCTGAATTCCACACAAAAGAGTAGTCTGGGGACATTAGTGTGAATTACATAAAAGGGCAGGGGTAGGGAAGTCAAGAACCACCCATAGCAGAGTTTTTGGACTCTTTACAAACACAACCCATGGGGAGACATGAGAGAGGGCACCGATGATAAAGTAAGTCATTGCTAAACTCTGCCAGATAACTGGTTATTTCCAAAGTACCAAAGAGAATGTTTTGCTCAGTTCTATTCAATTTACTGTGAAGACTAAAACAAGATTTAAAGAATAGTTTCATGAAAAGAGGCAAATGTTTTACAAACAGATTGAGAGAGAAAGTCTTAATAAGGCTTTTTGTACTCCTCGGTTTTTGTCTGCAGAGACAGAAAGCCACGGGGCAAAGAGATTTTGCTTGGAAATAGGTGACACCTGTGTCTTCTCCCCTCCTTCTCCAACATACACACACACACAGAGAATAATGGAAAAGTTCACTGGGCTATAGTTGCTTAATCTGTCAAGTGGGACAACGATTCCTTTTTCACTTCGAAATAGGCAGAAACATTCAGCACTTAGATCTATTTATATTTGCTATTCGAGATTTAGAATTCGTCTAACCAAGGAAAATGGTTTTAAAGTTTAAAAAAGTTTTCAAAGACAGAGCCGGCGATCTATTATGCTATGCTGGTATTAGTAAGTCTACCCGGCTCTGAACCTTTCATGCCAGCCTTAAGAACCTAGGACAAAAAGCACAGCCTCTCCAGCCTTCAACCCAGGAGAAGACTGGCTTCTCTGGGTGAATGTTTTAAACTCTCAAAAGGAACAAGGTCTGAGGTGGAAAATAAGACTGTTACACAGGTTAGGAATCAGGGAACCAGATTCAAGCACCTTCTGATCCTTGTGACCAGGGGCAAGTCAACTGTCTTTGCTAAGATGGGAGGACATGGCAATGAGAGAAAATCAGGAGACATCTGTAAGGAAATGGGACCAGCGGGTACAGCATCCTAACTAAGAAAGAACATGGTAATCTCAAGAAACTAAGAAAAGGCCAACATACTTAGAAAGCAGAAAAAGAGGGTAATGTTGGACAGACACTCTCTGAACTTCTTTCCTCATCTAGAGCTGCTCACCACGGAAAGGGAAGGGACAGTGGCAATATAAACGTTATATCTGCTTTTTTGTGTTGAGTACAATTTCCTTATTTGTCAAATAGTAAATGGAAGACTGGGCGAGGGAGGAGACTCTCTGGGGCCACACATCGCGCAGCCACAGAGTCCCACATCTGCCTCCTGAGCCAGTACTCTCCCTCCTTGGCCAGGATGCCTCTTGTCTAACCTGGTGAGAGATAGAATCGTCTTTGTTCTGTTCTCATCCCCTCGAATGAGGTACCAGTTTGTGCCATAACTGCTGCTAAGTGAGCATTTTTGCCAAAAGTTTCCTTCCACGACTAGCAGAATCCTGGTTCTTGGGATGGCACTGGTCGTGTCCCAGACCTAGGGGGAGGACGGCTCACGTGCACTTCCCTGACTCCTCTAGTTCTACTGACAGTTAGCACGGAAAAGAGCACCCCCAAAATAATCTTAAAAAAAAAAGAAGCTCCATTTACTGAGAAATCATCCTTTACCCACTCTAAAATTTAATCCTAACAGCAACGCTATCAACACACATCTTTAAATGCATTTTATGGATGAAGATATCAAGATCCAGAGAAATGAGGTACCTTCCTCAAAAGTACACAGTAAAGTACTAGCAGAGCCAGGATTTTAGCCCAGGTATGTCAGATTTCCAAAGCCATGTTTTGTTTTTTTGTTTTGGGGTTTTTTTTTTTCCTGAACTATTCTTTCTCCTAATCATAAAAATGGAAAAAGAAAAAAAAGGTTTGTCTGGCTAGAGCAAATTTCTTCTCTCCTGTCCTGAGACTTCTCATTTGCAAAAACAGCAGGAAACTTTAGGTTTCTAAGAATCTTTCCATTTCTTATGGTTAGTGATTCTGTGATGGATAGTCTGGGACTTTCTGGACATAAAGGCAGAGTTTACCTATTGTAAGGTGAGGGTGGACATTTAAACCATTCAGTGATGCTTTTGAGAGCATCATTATGCCATCTTTGGAGAGGATCAGTGTTGGTTTCTAGAATTTTCATTTTGCAAATGAAGAAGCACAGTCCACAGTCAGGGGAACCTTCAGGCTGGCAATTAAAGCACTCATTAGGGAAATGTGTAGTTTATTTGTAGCTTATTCAGTTTCCACATATCTACCTGTCTTACTTCCCATACTCAATATGAATAGGTAGAATACCTATTCATAAAAAGAGACATTGAAAAAACTAATCTCTTAGTTTTTTCTTCATTAAAAAAGGTGCTATAAATGTATCCAACACTGCAGACAAGCAGGCCCTAAGATCCAGGAATTCCACTTCTATGAGTACACCCAAAAGAAATGCATACATATGTTCACCAAAGGACAGGTTCTAGAATGTTTATAGCAGGACTATTCGTGACAGACCAAAGTTGGAAACTACCCAAATGTCCATCAACAGTACCATGGGCAAATAAGTAATACATGTTAATGCACTGAACTGCTATGCAGCAATAAGAACAAAAGATCTTACAACTTTACACAACAACATGAATGAATCTCACAAAAATGACATCAAACAAAAGACGCAAGACAACAAATACATACTGTATGATTTCCATTTTATGAAGTACAAAACTAAGTAAAGCACAATTAATGGTACAGGGACAACTGAATATACACGTGCAAAAGAATGAAGGTGGACCCCTACCTCACACGATATGCACAAACTAAAAATGCATCAATGACCTAAATATAAAAGCTAAAACCATAAA